GGGCATAAGGGAGAGGGTGAATGAAAATTCATAATATTAGACTACTTTATTATAGTAGATGTCCTAGCCACCTATAATAACATCTTTTGGTGACCACTCCTAAATAAATTCAAAGTTATGTTCTACACTTATCACGTGTTGATCAATTCCTATCCTTATGGAAAGAGATTACTATGAGGGTTGACCTCAAGTAGTTGAGGGCCTACTATCCAAAAGGCAAAGAATATTATGGGATCCTAAAAGGAAGTGTTGTAAGTCATATTGGTAAATAGAGGAGCTGGGTAGGAGTTACTAAGTTAGTAAAATAAGTCCTTGCTATAGAGGGGTACCTTGAGCAAATCATTTAAATAGGCACGCCTTTTTATCTAGAGCACCGTAGAGAACTTCTTAATACCCTCCAAGATGTATTAACTTTGATGGCATTCTAAATTCTATGGATTTTCATTAATGTTGCCTGCAATTGGATGAATTTTAAAAGATATGCAAGCCCATTAAGTAGAATATTAAAAAGATGACTATCATCCTAGCAGAGCTTATAAAATAGGAGGTTTTAGAAACTCCTTGAGGTCAAGTTCTAGTGCAGCATCAAGACTAGATCTCCAATGTGGTAATGATTTAGAATGCGAGTGAAAAGTGAATGATGTTTGTCAATTTTCCAGTGACTAGCTTCTTTGATGTATTCCATTGCTACCACTAAATTATTATGCATCCCATGAATTTTGAAAATATGGCTTTATCATGTAATTCCATTCACCCTAAAGGATGTATAAGTCACATACCAATTAATGATGGATTAAGTATTCAATGATTACAAGGGGAGGAATATCAATGTCTATGTGGACAACCAACTAGTGAATAGTAAATCCCCATAATTGAAAGTGCTTGACACACTTAGAGGGGGGATTGGGTGAATTGGTGTGGCTCTTAGAAATTTAAAGATAATTATAAGTAAATGATTTCAATGGTAAAATATATCTAAACCCCTTGTTTAAAGACATGCTCACCAAGATAAAAAAATTCTTTTAAATAAAAAATATTTTTGGATTTTAATATAAAAAAATATTTTATCATACAAAAGTAGCTCAAATCTACTAGCTTGCAATTTTAACCAATTTTTCCACAAATTATCATTCAACCACAAGTATGAAATAAAAATTACAAATAAATAAAGAGAATTAAAATAGCATGTAAATCATTTATATTGGTTTGGTCAAATAGACCTATGTCCACTCCCCATGTCATCCTCTCAAGAATTCCACTAACTCACTCTTAACAAGGTGAAGAAGCCTCTCTCTTTCCTAGAATAATGGAGAAATCCTACATCACTTTCCTCTTCAAAAATAACTTTCTCCGTAGCCTCCTGTTATATCCACAAATTCCTCCAAACCTCTCACAAAATCCCTTGAGATCTGTTAAGTAAGATCTTCAATAAGTTCTTCTCCTATGAAATTGAACAACACCTAAGAAAAAGGGGAAATAGATTGAGCTAGAATAATCGTGGTGAACCTTACAGACAAATCTCTTGGACTTCTTCAAAAGATTTCTCAAATTCTCTCCAATCTCACATTTTCAAACTCTTTAAAAATTCTTGAAGACTTTGTTTTTTTTTTTTTCATTAAGATTTTTATATAATAGTAGTATTTATAAGTAAGATAGAAATGAAATCCTAATCAATCTTTTTTAAGAAATGGTTAGTTGTATAAATTTTTTTATTTATTTCTTTTTAGTTACTACCACTTTAATATTCTATTTATAAAGATGTTACTCAAATCATACAGTATGATGAAGATTGCATAGTATGATTAGTCTAAGAACCAATAATTCTAATTAACTTTCAATTTGTTTATTTTTTATTTATTATGTACTTTTGTGTATGCGTGTGCTTAGTTGTTTAGCCCACTATATACTTGCAATAATGTAAGAAAACTCAAGAAAATAAAAAATATAAATTGGCATAACACTTTAGCTGTTGAGGTCTTTCTATCTTTAACAACTTCACATATTCATTGAGCTTAATACATCATCTTTCTAATTCTTGTCACTTGTGTGTCAGTTATCACTTCCTTCGATTTTCGCCTTTTACCATAAATTTTAGTTAAAAGAGATGACCTACACACATACATATGATCTAAATCAATATAACTAATAATAGTTGTAATCATTAAAATCATAGTATACACACCAAGCTCATGGGGTTCGACACTAATAACACATCCAAGATCTAAAGGAGGTATTTACCACCTTAAAGAGTTATTATATGCAACCTAGTCCACAAAAATTATGCTTTTGATGCAATATAAAATAAGTTCAATCAATGCAAATTGAAGTTAGACAATAAGTGTTAGCCCTCCTTCAAAGTCCTCATAAGTACAAAACATTTCATATAGAGTAAGGAGTGCAAGGTCATCTTTTAATAATTAAAGAAAATCCTCACATTATTACCACTATTATAGAGTCCACAACTTGGAGATGACTTACTCTTATACAATAGAGTCCATGAGGATGCTAGGAGATCTATCAAGATGTTAGAAGAATGAAGAAGATAATGTCCAACCTAGTTTATGTAAAAGAGTCTTTGAGGAGCCAAGTTGGGGTAAATCATCATGGTGAAGCTAGTTTAGGTTATAACTATCTAAGCATAATGACTTCAACCTTATTTCTATGCTCATCCTTTCAAAATCATCACATAACACCAATCAAGAAAAGTGATCAACAAATTTTACTATCTTAGAAGATTGTTAAATTTTGATGTTGAGCTCAGTAGGTTCTAGATAAACTATGACAAGAGGATGGACATCAAAGCCTAGGCACTCATTGGATTCCTTAGTGATTTCATAATCTCATATTCTAAGAATGGAGTAGAGTGTGAGTGAAACATGAAACTAGCTTTAGATATTGTATATAGATGAGGTGTCTAATGATCAAGGAATTAAATCTAAAATAGTCTTAAGAAGCTATACTGCATGAATACTCATACTCATCGTTGAGTCAAATTACGCATCACCAACAATCAATAATAACATCACTCCTTAATAGTGGGATTAAGATTTTATATTATCATATTGACATCATTTTTGAATGAGATCAATCTTCTCTCCCCTAGGGCTCTCGTATACTTAGATGTTTCTTAGTGTATAAATTTCCTTTTAAAGTACTCTTAAGGAGAAACCTAAGGACTTAACATTGGCTAGCCATAAAAATTATATAAACCTTTAAGGACACTTCTTAGTGGCAAGAGGTAGATAATCGAATTACCCAAGCTAAACCTTAGGTCAAACCCTAATTTGATTAAAATTACTAAAATATCCCCCTAAGTAACCAATGACCCTAGGATTAATCCTACAAACCATTGACTTATTCCTGGACCCATCTCATGGGTTAAGGAGTGCTGATCAACCCATTTAACCCTTAGTCAAACATGATTTGACTAGGGTTAAACTTAAATTCTTAAAAATTCCTAGAAACTCTAAATGGTCATTTAACATTGGAATTTAGTTCAAAAACTGGTTATCCATCTCATAAGTGATTTGGGTCAAGGGTTTCCCATGTTCAAATCCCTTTGTCTATAATCAAACTAGATTTGACCAAAACTAGAGAAGCCCTAACCCCAATCCAAATATTCAAACTAGCTGATTTTTCATTAGAAAGGGTTTTAAATGATTTCTAATCCATATTAAATTCATTTGAAAATAACTCACCATTGGTCAATCCATCTAGTAAAAATGATAAATGACCAAAATGTCCATAAAGTACACCATATTATAGGGTTTCTTTAAAATAGTCATAAATCAATTTTTTAGAAATATTTAAAACCCTTCACAACCCTTATTAAATCACTTTGACTAAAGAAGGGTAAATATATCAAAATGGTCCTATAAGACTTACCTTGGTGTCCATAAGACCAAACCATTGATTCTTATTTCTCTTTGATACCAAATCACTCTTAAATCAATTTTGAGATATTTGGAGCCATGCTTAACCCATGGTTACCATTTTGATCATAAAAGATAAAATTTACCAAAGCACTCTATATTACCTATCTTGGAATCCATATACTAAACCCTAGAATTTTGAATTTACATTGGTCCCATTTAAGTCTAAACCTTCTTGAAGTAATTCATAATCATGCTTAACTCATGGTTAACACCTATTGACTATAGAAAACTCAAAATTCCTATAATGCTCTTATGCTTGGCTCTTAACTTTACATAGGTTAAAGCCAAACTTTTGACCTTGGATTTGAGCTACACTGATCCAAAGCCCCTCAAGGATCAATTTCACTAACTTCAAGTCCATTTTAAACCCTTTTTTTATCATGACCTAAATCTAAAATTCCTAAAATAACTTTAATGCCCCTATCTATAAATATAATAGCTAAACCTTGGGCATTTGACCATGGATTTGAGTTTGAGAAATTCAATCATATTCAAATATCACATAAGATCATCCCTAGCTCCTAGCCAACTCATGTTGACCATGAAAGGGTCAAAATGACAAAATACCCAATGGATATTCTCCATACATTCATTAGGTTTAAACCCTCTAAACCTAGAACCAATCCATCCAAACCTTGCCCATGGGTTCGTAGGATCTTAACCTAGTCTCTCTTGCCACCCTAACCCATTTGAGCTAACCTAAGTGAATCAAATATGCGAAATAAGATTTATAGTGGTTTAATCAACTTGACCAACATCTACTCATTATATCCATCCTCTATGTGAGAATTCCACAAAAACTCTCTCCTTCTACTCCCAGCAAAGACGGAGAAGCCTCTTTGCTGCACTACATTTATTTAGCTATTATTTTATTAATTTTAAAATTTGGTAGTGAAAAATTATTCTTAAGAATCCAATTTATTAAAGTGATAGTATAAAAAGCTGATATTTAACCTTTTTTAAATTTATAATACTTATAATATTTTTTTTTTTAAAAATAAATTTTGTTATAATAAATGCTATGATCAACAAAAAAATTAGGGCATCCCAAAGACACTAGTGAATCTATTTCCGCGCCTTCTTCCCTTCTCCGAGAGGAAATACCGCAAGAAAGAAGAACTAAAGCTTCCCTCCGCCGGCATCGGAGAGATGCGGGAAGATGACTGCGCTAACGGCCACACATACCGCAGTCCTCTTCATCTCCGTCAGCCCCTGCCGTCGACTCGCCGTCCGGTTCTCTCGTAGGAGCGAGGACGCCACCGCGCTGGCGCCTCTTCCTATCCTCCGGCATTCGATTGGGAGGAAAGGGAGGCGTCGGGTTAGGGGAGGAGTAGTTTGGGCAGAGGAGGAGCTGAGCGGGAGCCGTTATTTGGAGGCGGAAATCTATGAGTTCATGGTGAGGTCGGCGGATCCGATGGGTTTTCCGAGTAGAGAAGCGCTGAAAGCTGCTGGTAGGGAGGACTTGGCCAAGGCCATCGAGAAGGAAGGGGGATGGCTTGCCTATGGCTGGGATTCGGATGAGGAAGAAGAGGAGGGAGATATAGGTACGGAGGATTCCAGAATATTTCAGCATAGGATGGCTTTTGTCGCTGGTGAAGCTGATGCTGCCTTGGAATCTGATTCGGACAACGTTTGGGATAGTTCGGAGGATTCTTCCGGGACCTCGACATCTCGGAGGCCAATGTAACTCATTGGTTTGGTTATTGTTTCCATCAGTTATTGGATGTAATTTTCCGTGTAGTTCTTGTTTGATTTCTAAATTTTGGTTTTGAAGGGACATTGAAGTTTCGCAGGATGCTGGAATCGATGGTATATTGAATCGCCTGGAGAAAGAACGGAATTTAGCTTTTGGTTTCATCTCGCCAAAGGAGGAAGAGTTGATGATTAAGAAGGACGAAAGCCTTTCCATAACTGCTTTAAGGCATGAATTTCGAAATGTGGGTGAGTTTATTTGTCCTTTTAGATCTGTTTTTATCTTAGGTTTTTTGGTTTGGAACTGTCTGTTTATGTGTAAATTTTGTTTGAACCTGCATGTAAATTGCCTTTTTTGTATGGTTCAATGTTAAGTTGATTAAGTAAATTTACTTCATTTTTAATTTTATTCACAAATCTACTGTAAATTAAATTGGGTATATCAATCACACTATAAAATCGGTGAATATTATCGTTCTAATTATTGTTTTAAATTTCTTTTTATGTATTCTTAATTATTGTAACATTTTTTTATTTTAACATAAATTAAAATTGGTTGTGTTTGATGAAAAACATTATGAGAGGATACCCTGATGGGCTTCAAGATCTTTAAATTTGCACTGTGATTAATGTTGTATATGATATTCTGAATTTCATTAATCTCTGCACAAATCTAAGGGCTTTGAAGCCATCATTATTTGTTTTTCAACAGGACATCCATTTTTTTTGTTTATGAGAAACATTGTTTGTTTTATCACTTCCCCAATCTATTAATTACTGAAGTAATATTTATTGGTTTGTTATCTCATAGGAATAAATGTCCTATTTCAGTTTCCATATAATTTCTCAAACATGTTAACTAAAACCAAACAAAACCCAAGTAGAAACAGAACAAAACCAAACAATACCAAATATCAGTTTAAGGTTTCATGGCTTGGATTGCGTTTATGCATTGTTATGCTCTGTGTGGCTGAGGTTGATATTGAAGTCAATTAGTTATCACTTATCACACTCCATATTTTCTATTTTTTTTTCTTCATACTGCTGATTCATTTACTCCATTTTATATTCTGTTGTGCATGAGTCCATATCTTTGTACTACCATTAGATGTCTCTTTGTTAATTGCTGATCATTTCCCTTTGATATATTACCTTATTGATGATAGCTTATTAGTATTACAGCTGCAATGTGCTATTGTATATCCCTATTTGATAAATATGTTCATATATTCCTTTTAGTGTATATACTTCATTGTAGATATCCACTACTGCTATTACTACTACTGTAACTGAAGTAGATGCAGCAGTATGTTTTTCATATGATGTATTGAGTATGGATAGGGGAAACTCTTCTTATTGTATTCACCAAGAATATAAACTTCATTTTCAGAGTTCAAAATACAGATGTATTGATTATCTAAGTTTGTGGAATGTAAGGAATCGTCGAACAATGGGATGAAATGTTAAGAAACTTGCTGTATGTAATAGGCTTTTAGTTTAAATTTTGTTTGTATTGTACATTAAAATAATCTCTCAGTTATGACAACCTTTGTGTAATGAGTCATCTCTCAGTTATGACAACCCAGATCCTCTTCTTTATGCAGCTTCACAATGTTTCTAGGTTGATAGAGGAATCCTTCTTCTAACTCATTGTTGAGTTTATACTTGAAGAGCTGCATCGTACCTTATTTACTTGATTAGCTTTGTAATTAAAAGGGATAGCTGATTGTCCACTTTTTCTTTTCCCCTTTGATCACAAACTTATAGATTTTAGAAAAATCATCTTCTTCTTTGGTATCAATGCCAAGATGAGTCACCTAGCTATTTTGTTTCAATCGGCTTTATTTTATGCTTTATTTTATTGAGTATGACGGTTTGAATTTCTAGAAGAGGCTCAACCTTCGACTTTTGTGTTATAAAATGCTTGGCATAGTCATAAATTTTAATTTCATGTACCAAGAATGGTTGTTCATCACCATGTATTCAATGTTCTTTCCCATCTCGATTATATTTCATGCACTGGTGCAGTGTTTAAGGCACGATGCCATATTTGTGTAGCCACTGCCTTCCGAGGAGTGCCTTATAAGAAGTGTTAGAATCAATTATGTGAAATCTTTCCTTTGTGAAGAGCTCCCCAAAGTTCGGAGGTAAGATCAAGGATCCAAAAGTTTTTGTCCTTGATCATTGAATCCTTACATAAATACTATACTTCTTTTCAGATGTTGGACTTTCAGGGCTAATCCTTTGAGCATTCTAAGGCTCATTAGATTAAAAGAAGAACCTGGATCGATTAGAATTTTGTTCATTTGAGCATTTTTACTCTCTGCAATGACATAAAGTGGTCGATTGTGATCTGCCGTTCCCAAGAGCAGATCGTCATTGTTGAAGGTGATTGTAGTATTCTGAGCGTATAAGGCCTACTGCATACCTTGCTCTGTTAACAATGTTTCATATTGTTCTAGATTTTGCAGAGCTTTAATAAGTGTCTCTCGAAGGTACTTAGATATAATGAGAGCATCATAAATGCTCAACAACGCTGACAATTTATGGAGATGTGCCAAGACATTATAGTCTACAACGACATTAGCAACCTTCTTAGGTTTAGGTGGATCCTGCAACATAATATTCTCATTAAGCTGAATATTTTTTTCATGATCTGTCACCTTTTTCTGTGGTGGAAGGGGAATATGTTTTCTATTTTTTAGTTGAATTTGTGTCACCTCTTTAGATGAACTGGCTTCAGCATAATAATCTTTTGGAGTTGCTATGTTTTCAACTTCTTCAGAATCTGAACTACTCTCGAACTTTGGGCATTCCTTTCTAAGAGTTGTCTTACTCTTATCATCAGGAAAATGGTTTTCTTTTGAATCAGTTAAATGTGTTGGTGTATGAGGTGCTTTCCCAGAAGGCATCTTCACATCAGTTTTGTGAATGTCAAGAAGTGCATTGTGTCTTCTTGCAGCCCTTCCATCACGTTCACTTATGACTCGGCAAGATTCCTTTGGAATACTATCTTCTTATTTTGACTCTGAGTCAAGATGTAAATCCGCCATATACTCTTCCAACTTGATACGTTGTCTGGCAGTTGCTGATATTCATCATTAATAAAATTGATGTACTGCTTGATTTCAGTTTTTGCTTCGACATCTCTTCTTCTTTCATCTTTGGGATCTCGATACATATTTTTGCTTTCCTCCCTTGTCTTTGTAGTATTTTGAGGGCTTCTTTTTATTTGGCATACGCTCCTCTACAACTGGCTTCTTTGAATGGAAGAATCTCAGATCAACTTTCAATTCTAAAGCATTCTTTTGACGAATGCCCTTAATAGCCAATAAAACGTTGATCATTTTCCTTGAATTTTTCGAGATGAAGGTTTCCCAATCACCTTCCTTTTGTTGTTGTTCTTTTCCCACATTTTTCTGGAATGAGCTGGAAGAAATGACATTTATCTTTTCTCGCTTGGGATTAATCAACACATTGTATAACTGCGTTAGTTTGCCACTTTGGTAGCTTTTCTTCACCCAATCTTTTAATATAAAGCAATCCTCGATTGGGTGACTAACAATCTGATGATATGGATAATAGTTTGGATCTTTAATCATGCCGGCCTATTCTGGTTGGTGAGACTTTTGTAGCTGTAGACCATTTTAAGTGCATGTTGGAAAATTTTGCCAGTGCATTCTTTCTTAAAAAAATATGACTTATCTTTTCTTGGTAGGGGTTTTCTGTTTTCCCTTTAATTATTTTGTCAACTTAGGCAAAGTCGTTGTTTCCCCTTTCTCATTCTTATCAGGAGAAGAAATAAATGTAGAGTTTACTTCGTCCCTCATTGAGTCATACACTATAGGCTGTTTTTCTTTACCAATATGATTGTAGTTATAGCTGTAATTGATGCCCTCAGGCTTGGGCAACCTCTCGAACATAGCTACATGCTCCAACAATTCTTAGAAAGTGTTGATCATGACCATTGCTAAGTAATGAGCGAAAACAGAGAGCTATGATGCACCGACACGGACATGGCGACACGGACACGACACGACATTGACGCAGGACACGACATTTTTTAAAAATATAGGGCACGGGTGCGGCGTGGACACGGCATAATAATTTTTTAATATAATATATAGAATTTAAGGTAACATTATATTAAAAATGTCAAGCAAGAATAAATCAAAGTCATAATAACTTGTTTAGCTTATAACATAAAGATGTTTAGTACAAAATATTTAGTACAATCACAAAAATATAACAAAAAATTATTTAGTACAACATGAAGGTCCAACTACTCAATTGAGGGAATGATAGATTCAGAGGTTGATCTTTGGCCTTCAATATTATCATCATTGAATATCATTGCTTCCAACTCTGGTTCATCTAGAAAAAGATTTGCAACCTCCAATAATCCCATATCATCAAGGCACTCGAACCCATCTCTAGCAACATCCCACATCTTGTTATCACCTGTCATATAAAATGAGATTTTCCTTGATAGAAGACGAAGATTTATATGCACATAAACTAAATCTTCAGCCCGTTTTGGAGTTATTTTATTCCTCTTCATTGATTGAATAAATGAGTATGTGCTACAATTTCTCTCATAACAGGAAGAAGATGATACTTGAAGTTTTGCTTGTTTTTAAAGTTCGTAAGTTATTTGTATGGAAAGATACCGAGCGGTACCGAGCATGTACCGTACCGAGCATGTATCTAGCGGTACCAAGCATGTACTGAGCGGTACCGAGCATGTACCTAGCAGTACCGAGCTTGTACCTAGTGGTATCGAGCATGTATTGAGCGGTACCTAGCGATACCTAGCGGTACCTAGCGATACCTAGCGGTACCAAGCATGTACCTAGCGATACCGACATGTGCATTAGCTTTTATTTTTGGTAAGTTTTAAAAAACAAGAATTAATATTTCAGGCGTCGAGAGTCAGGTGTCAATGCCATTTATCAGTCATCGAGAAAGGAGATGAAAATATCTTCACTGCCAAAAAGAAATGAAAATGAGAATATTCGATGATTGAGAATTAAGTGCGGACGTTGATTTGGTGTTGTAGATAGTAAATAAGAAATTTACTTTAAATCCCGCAAAATAAAAGAAATTATATTTAAAAAAATTCATAAAATATTTAAGATACGCGTGTCGGACACGCTTGTCCAATTTGCATTTAATATTTTTGTGGGCTCCGAAAATTCGGCCCCGGCCTCCCCGCTGCGCGATTTCTTTTTTATCTGATTTTGGC